AATTTCTTGTGATGGAGACTTATAAATTTTGTATTTATTCTAAACTCTAATATTTAAAATCATGTTATTCTAAGAAATTGAAGTAAGAATAAATGAAATATGTAGGGACTGGGGATATAGCTCAGCAGCACAGTGCCTGCCTGGCAAGCGCAAGGTCCTGAGTTTGATTTCCAGTACCAAAAAAAAAAAAAAAAAAAAAAAAGAAATGTGTAGAATACCTCTGTGATTATTTTAAAAGAGTTTTTAATGCTAAACAATATTCTCAATTTAAAGACATTCTGGTTACTAAATTATATAACTCTAACTTTTGCCTTACTTTGTTTGCAATTTTTCATGGTAGTTATTGGGTCTTGTAGAAATCATACACAAGATAATCTTGCCCCACAAACCAAAAAATGAGACATACAGTATACAATCTTCTCCATAAGAAAAGATTTTCTATAATTGAAATTGTATCTGTTTGCATTTATTTGATAACTCTTTCCCCTGGGTACTAGGTGTTCTTAAAAATTAAGAGACTCTGCCATATACCTTACTGACAGGTTTGTAAGGCTGAGATGGGAAACTTTGAATATTGAAGTATTGAGGTAGAATCTGCTCTCTTAAAAATTTTCAATTTGATTAAAGGAAGGTCCTGTGTGAATTAATACATGTCACTAATTTTGGTGTTCACTGTGATGCTAGTGCTAAAATTGGTTATTTTTGTTATTATTAGTGTCAAATTAGTTATGTTAGGAATCTCATACTGTATCACAAAGCATTTTCTGTCTTTTGCTCATAATTGCTTTAAGTAAGTTGCTTGGAGGAGATCAAGATGAAAATAAATCTATCATGCTTTTGCTGCAGAAACCCTGAAGATACTCAGTCTGTGTAAATAATCCATCTGTGTAAATAGTCACTCCCACATCTTTGTTTGGAAAGATAAGGAAAGTCCTATTAGCTATTTGTTTGTAAATAACTATTTCCAAAAGGAGTTTAGCCTTCAAAATAGTAATCCCTGGGAATCAAATTTTCCCCCAAAACAGAATGAGGGAAATTGTGGATCATTTCCCCTCTAAATCATTTATTTTAGAATTCTTTAGTACTTCTTATATTTGTTACTTAACCATTTATGTACTAATATGTTGTACTTTTTTGGTGGTACAAATATAATAAGGTAATAACAGACACTATCCTCAAGGCACATTACTGTTTGAAGAATAAATATCAGGCCCAAGAGCCTGATACTAAGTAAATACTTTAATAATATATTGGGGGTGTTTTTTAATCCTCAAATACATACTGTTCATTGCTTATTCATGTTCTTACCTAATGTCCAATAAGAAAAATAAACAAGTTAGGCTTATTGAAAAATATACAAGGTGTTAGGCCAGAATTGCAGATTACCTATTAACTTAGATGTATTTGATACAGTTCCAGTGATGTAAAAGAATGCAAATTAAATTATTAGCAAAAAGAATAAATGTGATAAAATATTAGTTGTATAGGATTAAAAATGAATAATTATTTTCTGTTTATATTTTTAAATTTTCTCTAATGGTTATAGCATATACATTGGAGAAGTTCAGTAAAGTCAATTGAAAGTACTTACCTGTAGTTGTCTTAAATCTAACTGGTACTGCCTTTGTTCAAAGGAACTTTTAAGCAATAATTTAATTCATAATAGAGTAGGCAGTTTATTGAAGGAATTTAAAAATGTTCGTATACATAGCTAGCCAGACCCTGTCTCAAAAAGAAGTAAAAGACTGGGATAAGCCCGGTGTAATGATCCTGGGTTCAATCCACAACACCGCCCCATACATTCCAAAAAATCATGTTGTCAGTAATTACTTTTTAGCTTATATTCTAGGTCTTTTTTTTCTTTTTTTTTTTTTTCGGTACCAGGAATCAAACTCACGACCTTGTGCTTGCCAGGCAGGAGCTGTGCCACTGAGCTAAAGCCCCTATTCGGGTCTTTAAAGTTACATTCCATATACATAAATGTCTACAATGTGCATTTATTTGATTTCAGGGAAAATTGTGGTATGATGTGCTTTTTATGTTTCTGCTTATTGTTTTGAACTAGCTACCTTTAGCTTAGTAATACCTCCCACCACTATGAGGCAGTAAACCAGATAAATAGAAACTTCAGGAAAAGAAAATATAATAGTTAATTTTTATATTTCATGTGTTACATTTATTTTTTTCTTTCCTGTTAAAAAGCCAAAACATTTTTTTGCACTTTGACAAAGGATAAATGAGCATTTGGAATAAAGCTTTTTTACTGTCCTAATGATTAATGATCACTGAACACTTTTGAAAGATTAGCATTTTTCAGAGCTGCTAAAAAATATACTGTTTTATTTAATTACAAGAAAGTAAAGGCTCTTCACACTGACAGGTGGTGGAAATTAGCAGGCAGTTCTGAAATTGTGCTGTGCACAAGAAATTAGATCTCATTTTAATTCTGCTTTTCTCAACTAGCAAATGAGGTTAATGCCATACATATTCAGCTGATATGGATGAAGAAATTGATATAAAGTAGATCAACATAGCTACAGGGCTAGATTAATTTATAGGTAAAGAGGCAGTGATAAATGAAAGTAATGTAGTAGTGGTCACTAAACTCCTCAGCCATGAGGGATTCAATAGCGTTAGTTGCTCATTAAAGGCATTGTCGGGTGCATCAAATAGAAATTTGAAAAGGAATAGCCAACTAACCCCTAATTATCAAAATACAGAAAATACTAATTATGCCTTAATTAGCTTTTCTTTTAATGTACTGAAATTTGTTACTTTTTGTGTGGCACAAATGGATAGTTATATCAACAATAAATAGGTTGTTTTAATAACTTTCTCTTACCTCTGGGAAAACTACACTCCAATTTTTAATATGCAATAATGCTTCTCTCTAGCCTGTAGGAGATGAAAATTATTAAGTAGCTTTATTTTTTTTGAAGATTTTACAGTAGCTTTGGGAAGAATTATTTCACCATGCATCAATTACTTTTAATTGAACTGAATATTTTTCAGATTGTACCAAGTGCCTCTCATTTAAGTTTAGCAGTTAGAATTTAAGAAAGCATCATAATGAGAACTGCATATAACCTCTGTCATGTATTATAATAAGATAAGGATGATTATTCATTGTGTACTTTTAAAAAAGCAACCTGAGGTAGGAATTATAAAGATAGTCACCTTATATATTCTAGTCAGTGTGGTGAAGTAAGGGCTATATAGTCTAGACACTTTGGCCTGTAATTGTCTTCTCCAAAATAAAGTGCTTATCAACAATCCATTTAAGAAAGAATTCATCTGTTCGGAATAAAGGTGCAGTGTTGCAGAGGGAAGCAGCTTAGGGTTTTAGTTTAAGAGACCTGAAGGCGGTTCTGGGTGGGTTTCTTAAGCAGGCCTTAGTAAACTCTTGCTATTCTTGGGAAATCCATGAACTTTTCTGAGTATTAGATGCCTCACCTATCAGCAGGAGTGGTACCTGTGGCAAATAAGGTGTGGTTCTTAAAATACAGTATGTGTTTAAGTTTTTAAAAATTCATTATGGTAAAAGACACATTGCCATTAATCCCCCTCAAAATATTCATCCTTCTCTTCTAGCACATTTAGCCCCTTAATCTTCCTACTTCCTGAAGCAGTTTTGGAAGTCCTCTTTTGTGTCTTCAGTTGCACTGCTGTGGCTTCTTCGATATCCTGAATTCATTTAAAATTGATTCAAAATGATCATTTTTATTTTGGAGAACAGCCAGAAGTTGCATGATACCAGATGCATTGAATAAAGTGAGGACACACTATCATGTTTTTACAAGCCTGCCTTTACCTTGTTTGGCAGTGGGTAGCAACATTCACCATTATTCTTGATCACATTTTGTGAAGACATTCACAGTAGAGGATTTAAGAAAGTGGTAAGAACAGTGGGATAAGAGTGTTCAAAGTCGGGAAGTATTTTGAGGGAATTACTGTACTAAATGTTTAAAACTTCATGTACCATATTTTTGGTCACCTTTTGTAGACGTGTTGTGATGATTTAATAAAATGTGGCAAGTACCTAGTATTGAATTTAATACAGTGCAGATGCTTTTTAAAAAGCTGATGTTATTGGTAAGAATAACAAGATAAGACTTTTTAAAGAAAATGTATCTTCCTATAAAGTAATGGTAAATTTCTCTTTGAAAGCATTGCATGTAATACAGTATTTTGGAACATCTAATATACTTCTCATTACGTGTTAGAAGTCAACCAACTTAACATAGGTTTATTGATGATTGATTATAGACAGTTTGTAAATCATTCATCTTTAGGGCAGATATTTACAGTGATTATAGTACTGGCAGATATCTGAGTTCAAGTTGTATCCTCATGCCAGGCCAGCCAATCTGAATCATAAGCCAGCAATGCTACAAGAGACATTAAGTGTGACTTCTTTTTTTTTTTTTTTTGGTTGCTCCCCCCCATCCCCCGGGTACCGGAAATCGAACTCATGACCTTGTGTTTGCCAGGCAGGTGCTGTGCCCCTGAGCTAAATCCCCAGCCCCAAGTGTGACTTCTAATGTAATCATATCTGTAATTTGTTCAAGAGCTCCACCCCTGGCACCCCACACCCCAAGCTACAGATTAAACCCAGGGCCTTTGCACTGAGTTACATCTTCATCCCCTTTTAAATTTAGAGACAGGTTGTTGCTAAGTTGCCCGGACTGGGCTTCAGTTTGAAATCTTCCTGCCTCAGCCTACCAGAGTGCTGGAATTATAGACCTGTGCCATCACACTTGGCCTATTTCTCCTTTTATTTATTTTCTGTTATTCTTTAGGGGAACAGTAGGCCATTAACTAGATCTGTGACACTAACCTGCTGCAGTTGTGTTTTTCTTGTCAGTAAAATTAAAAATAATACTCATTGCTCTTTTTCATAATTGCATTATTATGCTAACATGTTTTCATCAGTTATATTGTATCTTAATTTTAAAAATAAATTATTTGAAAAGAAATGGATTGTAACCAGCTCCCTCTAGCTTTCAGGTCCTTGTTTGGGGGCAACAAAGATTGAAGCCAACAAAACAGCAAGCAGCAAGCAGTGGAGAATGGCCAAATGTGCGTTTATTAGAAAGAATAAAAGGAAAAGCTCCCTGCTAGTCGGGCAGGGATTTCATAAGGTGAGAAAACTGAGGATGTGTAAGTCCATTGGCCTTTTGTACAGTTTTTGGGACAGTGAACAAGGCAGAAACTAGATGTTGCCTTTGATGTCTGGAGTGCAAGCTGCTTCATTTGCATTTCACTTCCTCCAAGGTCTCTCCCATTTGTTTAGGGAGCTAGTCTTTGTCTCTTCCATTCTATGAGACCCTGATAGTTTGCTTAAGTTAATTATCAGGCCCTCTGGTATGTTAACTGATTTAAATAAACTTTTAGTTTACTTTTAGGTTAACAATTCAAGACCTGTGTCCTAGCTGCCTAACTTTCTCTTATGTCCTTGTTTCATAATCACCCAAAGAAGAGAACAGAGGAGGTTTTTATAATTTAACAAAATTCAGATACGAGGACTCCCTTTAAAAATAAGAATTGTCCAATCGTAACAGAATTATGAATGCTAAATAAGTACATGTTGAAGTTGTAAATTCTGAAGCATTATACATATTGTATATAAAGTGAGGATGCTGCTTTTCACCTACTTCTGTATTAAACAAAACATTTGAAATGGTGATTTTGAAGAAAAGGAAAACAAACTGATTTATTTTTCTAAATGTTTTAGGGGAATGGGGTGGATGAGAATATAAGAATGGAAGAGAAGAGGTAATAAATACTTTTATGTTTATCAGAATGAATGGGGCTTTAAAAGATTAGAAAACTGAAAGAGGGCCTTGGCCTTAAACTGAGGTACCAGTCAGCAGCATTAACCTTCTTGGAAAAGTGTTAGAGATGCCAGTTCTCAGGCTCTCCAGGGAAGCTACAGAATCAGAAGATCTGAGAGTGGACCAGCAAGTCCTTCAAATGATTTTGATGCTAACTAAAGGTTGAGACCTCTGAACTAAATTGATGAATACAGATGTTTCTTTTTATCAAAACTAACTAGATTGGATTGTTTAGTAATGGGTGACCTCCCACCCCAAACCAGAATGGCTGATCCAGTCCTGCTTCTTTTTTAACCTAAGATCTAAAGAAAGGAAGGGGGATGTTGCTTATCCATTATATGTTAAAGGCTGTGCTGAAGTTTTGTAAGGTAATGTTTAATCAGTAGGTTCTGTGTATTGTCCCAAGAACTAAAATGCATGCAGTTATATATATGTAAAGACAAAATGGCTTTTAAACCAAATTTCTCCCACTGTAGTTTTTAGAAAACTGTAATCTACTAATGTCTTACTTCCCAAATGTTGACTCTTTCTTTCTGGCATTTTATGTGTACAGGATTTCATTGCTGGTTAACTATAGACTCTAAATTTTAAAAGTTCGTATTTTTAATAAAAATACTTAAGACACTGTAGCAAGGTTAGATCAGTATTCAGCTTGCTTGTTTTCTTTCTGTCTTCCTTTCTTTCCTTTCTTTTCTTTCTTTCCTTGAGACAGGGTCTTGCTATGTAGTTCAGGCTGGCCTCAAACTCACGGAAATCTTCCTGCCTCAGCCTCCAAGTGCTGGGATTAGAGGTGGGTGCCACCATGCCCGGCTTTTTTTTTTTTTTTTTCATTTTCTATAGGAGCATGACTTTAAAATCAGATTGTATGGATTCAATTGCCAGTTCTCTTATTAGCCTTATTATCTTAGTCAAATATACAAATCTCATTCTTCTTTTCTCCATCTAGAAAGTAAGAATGATAGTATTTACCTTTAAAGAAAAGAGATTAAACAAAAGTGTATATAAACTAATTGGTGCAGTGCATGATACACAAGTGTACAATAAATGTTAACTGTTGTGATTATGACATGGTTGATAGTTTGCTCTGTCAATTTTACTAATGTACACTATTTTTAAAGTTACTAAATAGGGCCAGGGATATAGCTCAGTGGCACAGCACCTGCCTGGCTAGTTCATGGTCCTAACTTTGATTCCCAGTACCAAAATAAATAAATAAATAAAATTTTTAAAAAATAAAACTACAAATATTAGAACCCAGAAGAGTTAACAGATATGTGAGTTTTTAAAAGTTATTTTCTACAGATAACAAGGAGCCAACAAAGGAAACTTAGTAAGTTAATAGTGCTCAAAGAAGAGTCATAACCCACCAAGAAATTTTCACAGATAAAAAGTAGTGAAAACAGATTTCAGAACTAGCTTGGCCATACTATAAAGCACTTCTGTTGTATGTACATCAGGTTTAGGTATGTAATTTCCACCTAAGATGTACTCTTTTGATTATGAAAACTTACAAGTATTTCAAATTACATCATCATTATTGCTACTTCTATTTACTAGCAAAAGAATTAATTATTGTCTAATTTTACTAAAGAATAAGATCACAGCATTCAGACTGAGGTAGGATTACAGTAAGTTCAAGCACAGCGTAGGCAACTTAGTGACTTAGCAAGACCTACTTAAAAATTCAAAAACATTTTAAAAGAGCTGGGGATGTAGCTCACTGTGAAGTCCCTACATTCAATCCCCAGTATTGCTAAAGGGAGAAATAGCAAGAGATAGAGGTAATAAGGGTTTTCTCCTTGTATTCTTATTTATTTTGCAATAGTTTCTAAAAATAATTGAAATGGATCACTACTCAAAAGAGAAATAATCAAAGATGCTGACAGTTAAGTCCCTAAAACCTGCAGTATGGCCCTAGGTTGTCATTGTGATGTGTCTAGACAGGCGATATACCGAAGGATCTTAGGGTTGCCAGGAGAATTTGTTAGTTAATAGATTCTTGTCTACCTCAGAGATTCTTATACAGTAGATATGGGTTAGGGCCCAGAAATCTACATTTTCATAAGTACTGCTGGTAACTTTGATAAGAGGTGATCTCTGAGTTCAAAAGTTCTACCCCCCCCAGTCAAAGATATCGAGGGATAAAGGATGATATATGAAGTATTTCTTAGAAAAATACTTCTAGTTGTTTGATTTAGTGTGACCTTTGCCTGTTTAGCTTAATGAAGTCCTATATAACCCAGTCTTTCCTTTAGTTAATGCTAGGTGACTAAATGACTATTCTTTTTT